TCTTCAGTTCTTGGCTCAACTACACAGTGTAAGAACTTTATTTTGGAACTTAAGGCTTTTTTCTTTTCCCTATAATAATTAAGATTGTTTTGCCTTGATCATTTTTGTGCACCTGTACCTTGGGTGAGGGGTCTTGTCAAAAATTTTCAAAACTTGTCCACATCCAGGCTGCAGAATTTGACCTCCGAGTCCAAGAAACCTTTGTGAAAACACCGAGTTATAGCTAAGGGAATCTATATGAAATCAGATCCTGATATCAGCACTGGCAATCCAAAATAAACGGCAGTTAAATTGAACAGAAATGAAACCTTGAACTGTATAAAATTTCAAGGAATTACCCAGCACAAATATTTACTAAGAAAACATAAGTCAACAGTGAGATCAAAAAGCAGATATGCTCACAAAAAACAAGGGAAAGGGGAAGGTGAAGTACAGTCAAGAAACAGGGGCGGCACGGTAGCTCAGTGGTTAGCACTGCTGCCTCACAGCACCAGGGACCCGGGTTGGATTCCACCCCCCGGGCTACTGTCTGTGTGGAGTTTGCACATTCTCCGTATGTCTGCATGGGTTTCCTCCCACAGTCCAAGGATGTGCAAGCCAGGTGGATTGGCCAATGCTAAATTACCCATAGTGTTCAGTGATGTCTATGTTAGGTGCATTAGCCATGGGAAATGCAGGATTATAGGGGACAAATCTGGGTGGGATGCTCTTTAGAGGGTCAGTGTGGACTTGTTCGGCCAATTGGCCTGTTTCCACACTGGAGGAATTTTATTTTAAAAAATGCAAGGTTAGAAACAGGTGGTTGCATGCTGAGGCCTTTTCACGGCTCACTAGAGTTGACTGGAAAATTACTTTCGGCAAGTCACATATAAGGGTAGATTCTGTCGAAAAATTAATAGCATTAGTTCATGGTTTTATTCATTTAAGAGGGTTAACAATTTGGAGCAAGAAGGAAGTATCCTGTGAATTTTGAATCTCAAGTTATGGCCAATTTGCAGCACTTCAGCTTTAACTTAGCAAAACTGGCATCACAGAGTTAATCACCCCATGATATTCATAAAGTGGCTGGATTTACACATTAATTACCTATTACCATCACCACAGATATTAGTTCTCAATTCCAATATTTAACAGTGAGAGTACTCTTCTATTCACTTGATATTTGTTAATGACTGCCACTCAATCTTGGTTACTGTACAAGTGAGCAATTTTAGGGAAAAAGTCTCCCTCTTTAATCTTGCAAATAGTTGTTAAGTTGTGTTAAAAAAGGCAAATTTAAAAATTTTTTTTTGTCACTTATATTTTAATCTTATCCATCATTTCTTCACTTTATTCCTCTTTCTGACCTGATTGTACATCGAATTTATCCTACTCCTCAGTTCTCCCTATGTTTGTTTCTCAATGCTTGAAACTGATTGATGAAGGAAATACACCTCGTCCAATAATTTGCCAAGGTTCAACTGCCCTATTGCTTTCAGTGCACTGTTATCAGGCTATACACCTACCAATTTTGCAACTAAGACATTGTAGAACCTAAACCTGCAGGAACAAATCTAACCTGTAGTCACATAAGTTTTCATGGTCCAGAAAAATCTGGGGGAATAACTTGGAATTTGAGACTGATTGACTCAACATCTAGTGAGCAAAAATAGTGATCACAAAACAAAATCAGCTTTATGAAATTACCAATAAATACAGTGAAAACGAAGTAGCACTAAACTAACTCACTTCAATTCTTGGAGATTGAAGGCTATGTGGCAAAGTTTCACCACAAGATGAAAATTACATCACAAGTACAAAATCAGATCTCCATATAATTCTGAATCGCAGCATTTACAAAAAGCAATTTTAGACAGCTTGTGTTTTGCACCCAAGGGACATTAACGAAATCAACTTAAGCTGTTGGATTTTCTTCTTAACAGAGCTTTTAAAAATTGTTGAAGAAAGGGAATCTCTACCCTGGTCTCAAAAATTCCCAGTCTACTGCCAAAAGAGCACAACGCTGTTGTTAAATGTATGTACACTGAGCCGAACCTATGTTGGCAGAATACACCTCTCAACCAGGCAGTAGTAGTAGTGTTCCCACAGAATGTACTGAGGACTCATTCACTACTCTGGATAGATCAGACTGCAACCAAAGAGGAGTAGATCAGGACATAGTTAGTCTTGTGCCTTTCAGAAACTTCGAGATGTTTACATATGTAACAGAAAATTTTAGGATCAAAGAGTAAACTGCAAATAACAAATTGGCTATGAATAAACAATAAAATGTGGCTCAGGTGTTTTTTGTACCTGAGTAGCTGTCAGAGATGTCAGCCATCAACTCTGGAACCCCTGCCACATGCGTACAAATGAGACTCTAATATTTTGGTCAGGAAATTTCATGTTGTGTTGTTAAAGAACAGCTATTCAACATAAAATCAAAGACATAGTCTGTTACAAAACATTAATGATATGAAACATGAAGTACTGAGAAGAGTTTTAAGTCATACTTTCAGTGAAGCTACAAGCAATTGTAAAGATTGAAATCAATTAATTTAAAATGGTTGGCACGTTTCTAAACAGAAACAGAGGTTCAGAAAATACTCTTGCTTGGGACCTGTTAAGAGAAGAGTGAATACAACCAAGATTTTAAAGTATTATTAAAGGAAACAATAGGCATACAATACAGTGGGCATGTAAAAAAAAAATCAGGAAATTAAGATTCGATTATAACCAACAAACCACAAACTGCATGCAATTTAATGAGTAATATCACTGTCAGTGGACTTTTTAAAATTAACAGTGAATGCTTCAAAAAGCTTAATGAACAAGTTGGTTTATTAATGTGATCCTTTGGTTTCCATGTACTTGTAAAGGCTGCTATCAATTTCCAAATATTTAGTCTGCCAATGCAACACAAGAGCCCTTGAACAGCAATGGCCCTACCCGAGCCAGGAGGCCTGGGTTCAAGTTCCACCTTCTCCAGAGATGTGTCATAAATTCATGAACAGGTTGATTAAATTATGCTCTGTTATTCTGGATAATTTTAGACTCTGCATTTCAGATGTCTCATGGATATTTATCAGTTGTTTACTTCCTTGAAAGTTACTTGCTGTTAAATTTTGATAAAATATAGCATGGATACATTAAATTTTCTTTTTAAAAAGACTATTCAGCAATTGGTACAAGTCCAATGTTTCTACAAGGATTGTACCTTCTGATGTTGAAACGTGGCAAAACATGACACATCACTTTGTTTTAAGCTTAACAACAAAGTGATTTGATCAACATTCACATGAAAAACGGACTTCTTTGCCAGCTATTAATTATAGTTAATATTCATAGCTTTTTGATCTGACCAACTGCAGAGGTACTGGAATCTTACAGAATCTAAAATTATCCAGATTTTTAATCAGCCTGTTCGGAGATGTTACTACACATCTCTGAAGAAGGTGTGCTTTGAACCCAGGCATCCTGGTTCAGAGATAGGAACGTTGCCACTGAAGCACAGCAGCTCTAGAATGGCGGAGTAAATATTTGAAAATTGATAGCAGTCTTCACAAGTACACATCCAATAAATTTTGGAGTGTCAAAGAGCTTCCAGTAATGTCAAAGATAGTCTTACAGAGTGCAAGAAAAAGTAGATAGATATAGACAAGGAAAAGGTAAACAAAAAGGAAAAGACTAGAATGAAGCAGTACTTCAGTGACTGGCCATTAAACTTACAAGTCTGCTATTAGATAGAACCACAAAACTACCTATAATTACTATGGGGTTCTAACCTCAATGCAGCTGCCGGAAATCAGCTAACTGACTGCTGTAACATATCATTATGCCAGGGTGCAACTTCTGTGATCAAAACATTGTTTTAACCTCTTAAGCACCACAATAGAATTTAAGGAGCTACCAAGGTGGCATATCTTGGGCCAAAATATTGTTACATCATTCCTTGTACTACTGGACAGCTTAGCAAAAGCAATGACAATTCCAAAAGCTGAGAACACTGAAATGCCATCAAATGTCTGAGTACTTTCTCCATCATCACAATTAATAAGGTACTAGATTAATTCATAGTAAAATGAGGAGTAGGAGGATATAGCTTTAGATTTGGCATACAAACATACTCAGCAGACTTCTTAAACATTGACCTCATGCTTGCAACAGAACTATACCTCTTGGAAAATTCAATACTCTTCAAATAGTAAATGCTATTGAAGTTAGCTCATCTAATGGAATGATTATTAGTCTTAATGGTAATCACAATGATTTGTAATATTTGACTCAAATCCTGAGAAACAGTTAAAATTACAATTTATCAATCATATATCACCTTTCATGTAAAATGAAATGAATTCATACACAGAAATACCAAATAGCCTAATTGATACTGTACTTGAATCAGAGTTGTTCTAATAAACATGCCAAAATAAGCAATATGATTTTCCATAGAGGATTACATGCCTAGTTGTTGGAAAAGCACAACAAAGAAAAGCACCACCACTGTCAATTCTAGCCTAAATTTCTGTCAACCAAACAGCACAGAATTTCTTCTTTTCCAATGCACCTCTATATTATCTATTTTATGGGTACTGATGAGTCATAATCTACCCTCCAGCAGCCAAGCACTTGCACTCAGTTTATAAACTTGGAATCTCTTGACCTTGGTCTCCCAACTCAATCATGACTCAATCTATCAGTTCAGCACATACTCAAATTCAAAAAATGGACCACCAACACCCAAGAACTGAACACCAAGTAACAATGAAAGAAGCTTCTTTTCATTGATCATGTTACCAAATATGCAGTTTTTCCTTTATGACTAATTTACAACCATTAAAAACTGGACTTTTGCTATCCATTGCAATTCAGTGTCAATGCTATTATCTACTCATATGTTGATCTATTATCACACAAAATTATCAAAGACATTGGCAGTTAACTCCTCAGACTAAGAACTCAGTCAGTTACTACAGTAACGCATGGGACGAAGCCAGAAAATTTCAAGTGCTGAAACTTACCTTGCAGGACCATAACTGAGCGCAATAAACACCAGCAATATCATGGCACATACTGCTCTTCGTTTTGGACCAGTTACTTTTAGTTGCTGATTCTGAAAGAGAAGAGAGGCGGTGACATTAATCAAATACATTGGAGATTACAAATGCATTAAAGTATCACAATCTTCACAACAGCATGAAACTCTCTTTATATTTGACTGCTGTATTCTCCTTCTCCCAACCCTTTTCAGGCCTCTTTTCACCCAATGCTATCACCTTACTTCATTCTCAAAGCATTGTCTGATATCACTTCAAGTACCACCACATTGATATACAGCCATTTTATAGTAAAAATAATGACTTCTGCATTACATAAATATAGTGTGATGCATCACTTTTTATTATTTTGGTTTTTTTTGCCCTCACTGTTCATTAGGATTTTTATGACAAACCCAAGAAAAACACGTGTTTCTTTCAAAGCTTGTCTTCACGATGGATCATTTTACATCGAACCATTTATTGAACATTCCGAGCCAAACTGGCTATAAATTATACACAGCCAGGCTATTAATTTTTCTTTCCCATGTTTAACCCTATCACACATTGCAACTCTCTAACACTGCATAACTTCTAGCAGATACAACCAAGTTGAGCAAAGCTGCAAATAAAGGTGACCACATATGCCTGCCTAAAAGATGCTCTAAATTTTACACATATTTAACAAAGCAACGGATGCAAGAATCCACACAGATTCATGAAAATATTATGTGCAATTTTGTTTTGCATATTCATACTTTAAGGATGCAAAATAACCTGAAGTGATCAAGTCATCTACATACAACAACTACTAAGAAATAACTAATTACAATACCCAGCTCGACCTCACAATCACCTGCTGTAACTCTCTTCATTATTCTGACTTCGACTGACTGCTTGCCCAAGACCCAATATTGGGTGAGCAATATTTTCTCCCAACAGAACATTAGAAAAACCAAAATCATAAACTTCGGTTCACATGACAAACTGGCCCCTAGTCCTTGGTGTGCGTTGAGACTTTTCTTGGGAAAAGGTTGGAGTTGATCCAGGCACAACAAGCTGAACACCATATTAGATCAAGCTTCTATCTATCTATGCCATCAAAAAAAATAAAATCGCTTCTTTGCAGCTTTATGACATCCTAATTCTGCCATTGTTACCTCTAGACTTGTCAGACTGGAAGCAAATGTAGATCAATAAGACTATTGAGAGTTAGGGAACAGGTCGCAGTTCTGGATTATCTGTGGAGTGTTGTTAGTGTGAGGCTGGCCTTGAGATCATTCCATCGGCTACCATCAGTTCTGTGGAAGGGTCACCGGACTGGAAACATTAACTATGATTTTTTCTTCACAGATGCTACCAAATCTGCTGAGCTTTTCCAGCAACTTCTGTTTTTGTTCCTGAGATCATTCGTATAATTAAGTCTCAAAATTAAAAAAAACTGATTCAGAGTTTCAGAAGTAAATCAGTTGAAGTGAGGTGGTATTGGGTGATCGTATAGACTTGAAATAGTTAGTCTCAGTGAATATAATACATAGAGTCTCCATGCTGTATCTTACATGAGCTAACAAATAGAAAACCACAAAGTGCATCATGGTGGCAGTACATGGGAACTAAAAACTAGTTAGTGGCATTAAGTGGATGGTAAAGACTGAACAGGTGACTGCAGCCTGGCAGTTGTGAACAGCCTAGCAATCATCTGTCAATCTGTCAGAGTTCAGAGCTGTAGTCACAACTTTAACTAAGATCAAAGTGCTACCAACAAGGCTAAAGGCTACAAGCCTATGCTAAAGCACAGACAGTCCCCTCTGTCTCTTTAAAAAAAGCAGTTGACAAGATGCCCACTTAAAAAAAAACATCATTTCAGCTCTTCAACAAGATGAACTCAGGAAACTTGCACAATGTGGCACAATCCACACAAGGTAAGTTAACAACAGTCCTGATATTCGATGCGTTGGCATTTTCCATTTCAAATTCTAATACAGATCACTGAGATGGACATCAGAAATTTCTTCCATAGTTGAAACAGATGGACCAATTATTATCAGTCTGTCAATACGCATGGATCCACTCATTATTGTGATCCACAAGATGACAAATCCATAGCTGAAATACCAAAGATTCAAGACTGCAGAAACCACTGAAACAAGCAAACCGACTTACTGGGGAGCAGATTCCAGCTTTTCCTGAGGTACAACATCACAAATTGTGCATCAGCACAGGTCAATCGTATATATAATTTCCCCAATTAAAATATGCTTGAAAGGTTATTTTATTCAATGTGTACAAGTTATGAACCGCTATTCCAAAAGGCAGGGGTGAAACCTGTTCAGAAAGTCACTTTGTAAAACTCTCCAGTTCTACCACTACTTTATTTCACACATTATAAAATGCACATTCCACTAGTTTTTATTTAGTTGGAAAAGTGACTGCATAAACAGTTGGATAACATTAATTTGTATGTTAACATACTGAAAGTGAACTCAAAACAAATGGAACAAAACCGTTATTTTCCCCCATCGTCGTGGAGTACATAGCCTCAGCTGCAGTGAAGGTCTGCAACATTGTGCAATGAGCTGTCCTTATTGGCTTGTTAAACAGAGACTGACAACCTGCACCCATGGACATCAGGGACCCTATGGCGCCACTCAGAAAAAGAGTACAATCCCACTTCTGGCAAACATGTGTGCTTTGATTAAGTGTAGCTCAAGTGTCCATTCCCTCAGATGTTTACGCACTTATATAGCCATATCATACACATAACAGTTATCATGTTTCAAAATAATTAACTGCATCTGAAGTACTTTGTGACACGTCAGATAAGTTGTAACATAAAAAATGCTTATGGAAAATGTTATCCTGTTTCTATTAAAAGATCTATAGCACTTTTTGAGTTTACATTAGATTTTCTGACTGTGGTTTTTCACTCTATATTGACCAATATGATGCAAGTCTATTCTTCAACCTATAATAAACTTCAATATGCAAACTTAAACTTGACTGCCCTAATGTCTGCTTGGAAAGTGGCTCACCTCCGACATCAACTCCTGAAGCTGTTTTTGAAGAG